TTATTGATGAGTGCCTTATTAATTGGAAAAAAATTCGTATTCCAACACATCATCGTTCAGACCGTATTGTTAAATGTAAAAAATTGTATAAAGATTTACGAAATCTTGAAAAACATAAAACTCGAACCAGTGAACTAAATAAAAATAGACAAAAAGACTTCGAAAAAAATTTAAATGATTTGTTTGATATCACACATGCGGACGCCCTATCATTAATACAAATTGATGAAGATAGACAGTTTTTAAGTGCATACAGAAAAAAAGGACGCCAAGGGTGTATGCTTGGAGTGGATAAGAAACAAACAAAAATTGAAATGAAGAAAAGTGACCCGTGAAGAAAAATTTAAGTTGCTTAAAGAGAAACAAAATTCAATCGTGGAACCAGGTACTTAATAATATTGCTAATAATGCTTGGAGTGGATAAGAAACAAACAAAAATTGAAATGAAGAAAAGTGACCCGTGAAGAAAAATTTAAGTTGCTTAAAGAGAAACAAAATTCAATCGTGGAACCAGGTACTTAATAATACTTTATATTTATCTTACTTTATAATTATATCTGATTTCTTTTAGTCGTATTGATTATAGAATATTTTCTTTTTTTAATTAGACGAAAAAATAATTACATTTTTTGAATTCACTGATTTATAAAAATTACTAAATTAGTGTAATATATTGAATGTTTCAGTACATTTTTCCGATAAGGATTCATCTTTGTTCGGTTCCTCAAATTCTTGTAGTGGTAGCGAGTTGGTAGAATTACAAAATGAATTCCTCTCTAGAACATCGAATGTTAAAGATTGTCTTTTACCTCAGTCCGGGCCCACAAAAGCTAAAAGAGCTAAAAAATCTCCACGATTATCGGCCGTACTTGATAAATGTAAGATAAATGATCGAGATTGTGTTTATTTATTAACAGCAGTTTTAGATACTACATCAGTAGATCCTAGTGACATTATAATAAATAGAACATCAATAAAATCAGCCAGAGAAAAATACCGGCAGCATATTTTTAATGAAATGAAAAATAAATTTGACCATTTAGATTTAAAATCATTAGTACTTTACTGGGATTCTAAATTTTTGCCAGATATTACTGGAAAATATAAAGTTGATCGATTTCCGATAATCGTTACAGCGCCGAATGTAGAACAGTTATTAGGTGTTCCACAACTTGATTCGGGCACAGAACATGATATATCTACTGCTATATACGACACATTAGAAGAATGGTCGTTATTAGAAAAAATAAAGGCTTTTGAATTTGACATAACTGCTAGTAATTCAGGTCGATTAAATGGCGCATGTCATCTTTTGGAAATAAAATTTAACCACGATATTTTATACTTAGCATGTAGACACCATATGCATGAAATAGTATTGCAAGGCGTATTTACCGAAGTAAAATTAGTAACGAGTTCAGGGCCAAATATTCAAATATTCAAAAACTTCCAAAAAGAATGGAAAATATAGATACTAAGTCTCATTTAATATGGTCTATCGATGAATATGTAAAAAACATTTAACAAGATATTGTTGATGTAACAATACAATTTTTTACTCTTAAAATTGAAGAAAATTTGCCTAGGGATGATTATAAAGAGTTTTTTGAGTTAATAATTATATTTTTAGGAGGTATTCTACCACGTGGGATACGTTTTAAAGCATCAAGTGCTTATCATCTCGCGCGTTGGATGGCAAAAGCGATGTATTGCCTAAAAATATTTTTATTTCGAAAACAATTCAAAATTTCTCAACACGAAGATAAAACGTTAAAATGTATATATTGTTTTATTATTAAATGTTATGCAGAATCTTGGTTATAAACCATCCACAGTTGCAGCGCCTATGAATGATATTGTTGCGTGCCGTCGCTCAATCGTATTTGATGGTTAAGTTTTTAAGATAATACTTCAATAAAAATACTTAATTGTAATTTAAACTGTTTATTCAATAAATTTTCTAAGTACAAAACATTAATTTGAGAAATAATGTGGCGTGAAGGTGCTTGCGATTGTACATGTAAACCACATCTGAATATTGGTCTATTCCCAACCCCCTTATATACTTAGGTCCCGTGGAGATCAACCGTGCAACGCTGTGCGAAAGTTGTTTTCCAAATGTCAGATTACCTTAGTGGCCTTGTCAATATTACTATTCGCGCATTATCCATTAGTGACTCGGACCTACCAATATCAACCACCTGTCATCTGTCGTCTGGCTTGCCATTATCTATATTCCGTGCACTTAACGAATCCGCTTTTTACACATGTCTTACTGATGCATAATTATAATAATGTTTTTAATATTTATTACATATTACCTGTCTTCGTAATATGTGTTTGCGTTACCCTCTGTTTTAAACTAATAGTTCCTTTCTATTATTGCGAATATTATATTACTCATAATCATTCTGCGATCTCTAATATTTATAATTTATGTGGACCCGCCCGTACTGTAAGAGTCGTAAGGACCTACATTCATGTATGTCCGCAACAATATTAAATTTTTAAAAAAAATGGAAATCTATAAAAGGTATGATAAAGAAGTAGCAGATAAAGCGTTAAAAAAATTCATAAATCATTTATGGTATTTAAATGAAGAATGTGCTGCTCTATCTATATTTAATGAAAATTTAAGTTATGATACTCGAAAAAAAATGGCTGACAGAATATTACACGAAGAACTTAAAAAAGATGCACAAAAATATATTATCAAGTTTGAAGATGTACAACACTTTCTCAGCAAATATTTACCGCTATCTATTAAATACCAACTCAATAAACATTTATAAAAGATTCAACATTCCTATTAATTTTCTAAAAGTTCAACCAGAAAAGTGGAGCGATCTAGAAGGGTACAATGAAGGAAAACTATTAACGAATTCCATTAAGGTAGTCAACGATATAGCAGAACGAAGGGTCAAACTAATGGAGGAATATAACAACAAGATCACAAAAAATGAAGAGCAAAAACAGATTGTTTTACAAGTAAAAAAAAAAAAAATCATATTTTTTCACCACTTATACTAACAATTATTGATAAATCATAATTTAAAAAATATTTAGGTTGTTCAAGATTATAGAAAACAATATTCTAGATCCACCAGAGAAACTCTTAAGAAACCATATATTTAAATTAATAATAAATAAGTATTGTCAATTTTATAAATAATAATTAATTTACTGTTAATGTTTCCTTCTATCATCATTAATATTATTAAAATTACATAAAGTAATTTAAAAAAATTTAAGTTTGTTCTTTTAAAATTGCATACGAAAACAATTTTATAGAAAATATAATTTCAAATCAATTTTTAAAAGATTTTTAGTTGTACAATTAATTTATCTATAAGAAAACAGCAAAAACAAAAATAAACAATAACAGTGGCCATGGAACATATTAGATTCAATATAATTTTTCTTGTCAAGATAAAGGTTTAGGTGACATTTTCATAGGCATTTCTTATAGAAAACATGTTTGTTGAAAATAAAAGCTTTATATAATTTTATCGTAGGGATATTAGTTTATGAGATAGTGAGAAAAAATTAAAAAACTCAAAATTCAAATATTCAAATCTCTTGGGGCACGTCTTAGGGTTAGTCTATCATGACAACATTTCGCACACCTTATTTATATATGTATTAGAACAAAATTAAGGGATCTGTGTTTGAAATGTTGAAACTCCAAAAATAAGGATCACCCTAATATACGAGTATATTATAGTCCGTTCATTAGCAATTTGTTATTTTAATTTTTATATTTATTAATTTGGTAAAAAAGAACGTTTCTTATTATCGGAGACACTTCATGTACCGACAAATAAGGATGTTAAAATGAACCAATTCACACGAGTTTACTTACACAGATATACTATTGTGTTCTAGCATAATGGAATAAAGTTTTTTGAGGATGAGGGGAGAGCATATGACGGAATTTTAATGTAAAATTATGAAAATACAAGAGAAAGAAAAAATATCGATAATGGATATAACAAGGAAATATTATAAAGCAGCGGTTCCTAACCCATGGGCCGCGAGCAGCATGGTACTGGGCCGCGAGCCATAGGTATAATATTAAATATTTTATATATTTAAAATAATATTATTATATATTTTTTGTTATATTTCTGATCATAATAATATTTAATCAATTTTAACTATAGTGTATACTGTATACTGTATAATAAATGTACATTTAACGATACGATATTGAATGTTTGAAATTAGTTTTATCTTATATTAACGTGCGAGTTGCCATAAACTTAATAGGTATTTCGATTTCGTAAATTGGTAAACTAGTTATTTGTGGCAGTAACAGTGGTTGTGTGTTTATGTGTCGTTGTGTCTGTTGTGAGTTATTACATAGTATTACATAGTGTCACATAGTATGTATTATTAATTACGCTACACATAAATATGGATACTTGGTTTCAAACTGGGTCTTGTCATAAGACGAAGCTGTCAAATGATGAAGGAACTAGTAAACTAGTAGTAGTGGAACTAGTAGTGAGATTGTTGATGTGTCAAGTTTGAATCAAAGAAAGAAAACTAAAATATATTTTCGTAAGTATAACCCTGACTTTTTAAAAATCGGGTTTGTATTTTTTGGTACTGAGGAGGAGCCTGTGCCGCAGTGTGTGATTTGTTTCGAAACGCTATCCAACGAATGTATGAAATTTTCAAAACTTGAAAGGCATCTATTAACTAAATATCCTGAATGTGTAGGAAAATCTCTCGATTTTTTTCAAATCAAGAAAAAAAATCTTTCTATGACTAAATCAATTATGGAAAAATCTTCAAAACAAAACATAACAAGTATCCAAGTTTCTTATGAGCTTTCATTGTTAATCGCAAAGAAGGGGTCAGCTCACACCGTGGGAAAAGAACTTATTATTCCGGCAGCAAAAATAATAAGTAATGTTTTGTTTGATAAAAAATGTACCAAAAAAATTAATGAAATTCCGTTATCGAATACGACTGTGAAAAGAAGAATTGATGAAATGTCGGAAAATGTGAAAATAGCTATTATTACTGTTTTAAATCAAAGTGAATATTTTTCGCTGCAACTGGATGAAAGCACAGATGTTGCTGGCGGAGCTAATTTATTAGCTTTTGTTCGTTTTGAGTTGAATGGTAATATTGAAGGAATGCTGTTTTGTCAGTCTTTGTCGACAAAAACAACTGGCGAAGAGATTTTTAAATCTGTTGATAGCTTTATAAAAGAAAACGAAGTAGATAGGTCAAAGTGTGTAGGTTTGACAACTGATGGGGCACGTGCTAATTAATTGCCAGAGTTAGGTCAGTTGCTCCTTTAGTTCAATGGACACATTGTAGCATACATAGAGAGGCTCTTGCAGTTAAAGGTTTGGACGAGTGTCTCAAAAAAACTCTTGATGGTGCAGTTAAAATCGTCAACTTTATTAAAGCAAGGCCTAAAAACTCCAGACTGTTTGGTGTTTTGTGTGATGAAATGGGAAGTAAACACAAACAGCTTCTACTTCACTGTGAAGTTCGTTGGCTGTCAAGAGGTAAAGTGTTATCAAGATTGTTTGAGCTCCGTTTGAACTTAGAGTTTTCCTTATGGAAGGGGACTATGATGGAAAACTTGCAAGTTCTTACTTAGAATTGGTGACCGATGAAAACTGGTTGAAACGATTGACGTATTTGGCGGATATTTTTTGTGCTCTCAACGTTCTTAATTTAACTCTGCAAGGCAAAGACATTCACAAGTTTTTTGTGCAAGACAAAGTTGATTTAATGATAATCAAGCTTCAACGATGGGCTCTAAAAGTAGAACAAGATTCCTTCGATGCATTTCCAGTCCTACATGATTTTTTTGAAACTAACGAAGTTAAAATTGATAAAGCAACAGCTACAACTATACAAGATCACCTCAAATCTTTAGCTTCCAACCTCAGGTTATTTTTAATTATTTATTTTTCTTAATTACAAATTAATATTTTTTAATAGGTATAATTGAAATCATTTTTACACTGTTTTTAGAAACTACTTCCCTAAAATTGAAGAGGAAATCCAATGGATCAGAAATCCCTTTGAAGAAGATTACTTGAAAAAATTGAAAATATCTGCAAATGAAGAAGATTCGTTGATTGAAATATCATGTAATCAGACTTTAAAATCGTATTTTAAAAGTACACAATTAGTGCCATTCTGGTTAAATGTTCGGAAAGACTATGAATGTGACTGTGAACGTGCTTTTTCTACTTTAATTTATTTAAAAAATAAATATAGGAATAAACTGAATGTTGAAAGTGATTTAAGACTAAAACTAACAAGTTTTAATCCAGATATTGACTTTCTCGTGAAGAACAGGCAATGTCAAAAATCACATTAAATTGTTTATCTTGTGATAAAGTTGAATTAAGTTTTTTTTTTAAATTTTTAAATGTTTTATTCCTAATAACTATATATACATGTATATATGTATGTAATATATATTATATATTATAATTTTATGAAAACGTATATATTTGCTATGGGTGGGCCTCAAATATTTTTTTTACAAAATTAGTGGTCCGCGAAACTAAAAAGGTTGGGAACCGCTGTTATAAAGGATCAGTAAAAAAATGTTTGCATATGACAGATTATGCATTTTATATTACTTATTATTGTCTTATCAGGGTAAAAATTCGTAGTAAGTGAATTGTTGAGCAATAGTTATTATGAATGTGAAGGACTTGTGTGTACATAAGTACAATTTTATCGGCGAATACGATAGTAAATAATAATTTATTTGTAAGAAAAAGTAATATTTCCTTCTTTAAATATTCTAGGGCCTATTTTCCTTTGGAACTATGAGTCATCAGGAATTATAATTGCACAATGATTTACCATCATCAGGATATATAATAAAATCAGGGTCGGTCTGGATCATGATTGGGCCTTCGGCAAAAAATTTACAATGAGACCCTAAACTGCATAATATTGGAGTGAAATTTAATAAATACTTACTAAATTTTTTTTTCCCTATGCTCGAACTCTTCTATTAATATTAATTTATTTTTGTTTTTATATCTTTCCAAAACCAATATTATCGAATTATCATTGTGTTCGTGTATGTGACCGTTAACAACACTTACCTCAATTTTTATTTATGTTTGTTCGATTTTGATTAAAAAACAAAAATGTATAAACTATAGCGGTTATACTTAGTTCTATTAATACATTTCAACAATATTTCAAGATTAAGATAAGAATAACATAATTTTAGTTTAATTCAGGAAAATATTTACTAAGATTTTTCATGGTTGCTTTAAGTCCGGGAGCGGATTTATGAGAGGTTCAGGAGGTTAAATGATTTACAATTAATATTTCTTGACAAAGTTGACCTCTAGAAGACTTATATTTTTTAAGTGTAAGTTAAAACTAAATTGACATATGCTCCAGTTTCAACCCCTTCCCCTAAATAATACCACTGGTTTAATTATATAGTAAAACAAAACATCTCTATGCAAGAGACCGTGAGGGATTCCATAAAATAAGGTAAATGTTTACAATGATAATTATGAATAAACTTAAAAAACAAATATTATATGATCATATTGTTTTTTGTTTCAAGGAATACATTAATAATCCACTCTCAGCTCTATAAAGTAGCCTCTAGAAATAGTCTGACCCATAGTTATCTAACTTTGAATCCACCTCACGTTGGACCCCTATTTTAAAAATAAATCTCAGGGCTCCCGGAAAGGGCGCATATCGATTCCGCCGATTTTATATCGACTCCGCCGGCTACCGTTTATAATATCTACACATCGATTCCGCCGGCTATTGATCCCGCCGGTTACTGTTTATAATATACACATCGAATCCTGTTCATCCCACCCCTTCTCCATTGTATATGTATTTTAAAATGTATAGTTTAAATAGGCTTTCTAAATATAAAGTATACATAATTTAGACAATATAATATATAACTATAAATTATAATATTACTATTTAATTAATAAGTATATGTGAATATACTGTTAATTGTATAATCTAAATTGTATAAAATAATTATACTTGTATAGTTCAATATTAAAGTGTATAACTACTTTTGATAATATTTGGATACAGACTGTCACACAGTTAATAAGTGAACTTGGAAATGCTAACTGAAATCTTATCTTTGAGATAAGATATAATTTAATATCTTAATATCTATAAGACTATAATAGTATATTTATGTTGGTTCCGCTTGTTAAAATGTGGACTGTCCTTGTTACTTCTCGCATAGTTGCTAATCAGTATCGACAGTATCGATCTAATTAACGAAATTGCTCCACGTGTATAAAGTGTCACACACTCACACACTTGTATTAGGATCTTAATTACAATTTGTTTTACATTTAAAATTTAGATTATACATTTTACAATATATTCACATATAAATATTAATAAAATTATGCATTTTCATTTTGAAATATATAATTATATAATTGGGGGGGGGGATGAACAGTGTTCGGCGGAATCAATATAAACCTTTTTCCTAAGCAGGTAATTTCGGCGGAATCAATAAATCCCCCCCAGAAATTGCCGGGTATCAGGGCCGGACCGACACTGAATTGGATAAAAAATGTATCTTAGAAAAATTCTATAAATTAATAAAAATGGTATTAAGCATTATTTAATAATTTTAAATGTGTGACAAATTAACACATAAAGATGAGATTTTATAACTAAGGTTTATACATTCTTATATTTTCTAGAATAACCAGAAATTCACTAAGTATTGGATATTGAAACTTAATGAATGATGAACATATAAAATACACGTATTATTTAAAAAGGGAAAATAAAGAGATTTTTTTAATTAAATTCTTTTGATTCGAAGATGTCATACACAAGAAATCAGCAAATGCAACGAAAAGATTATTAATGTTCAAACAATACACGCCTTATCTGCAAAGGTTGTTTGCCGATATTTTATCCAGCGATTATTTATAAAGTTCGTTCGAGAACATTCTTTCCCGACCGGTTCTAAGCTGGACGAGCTGGTATGATATAACTCCCACGAAGAGGGTCGTTGAGTCGTCGGCGTCCTCTCGTGCGACTCGCACCGTCGAACGTCGATGCTTTTTTCCAACCGGTGTCGTGTGAGTCCGCTGGGGAATGAAAACCGCCATTTTTTCTTCTTTTTAGCCGTCGTGCTTGGTATCGTGTAACTTCTCTTGCCGTCGTGCGTGTTACCGCCGCGCGTATAACCTCTCTTTTGCCGTCGTGCGTATTACCGCCGGACGTATAACTCCTCTTTGGCCGTCGTGCTCGTTACCGCCGGACGTGTGACTTCTCTTGCCGTCGTGCGTGTCATCGCCGGGCGTATTATCCTGTTTGCCGTTGTGCGTATTATTGCATTTATTGCGTTTACTGCGTCAACTGTGCTTTGATCTCGTTTGTGGTGTGGTCGACGGTGGTGTTCGTCATCTCGTGTTTCGTCACTGACCGTGTTGTGGCTGCCTGTCGACATTGCGATCGTGTCCAGTGGTGGGAGTATCACTATCATCGCGGTCGTCGAGAAAACGAGGTTCTGATTTTTGTATACATATATATACACACACTTCATTGTATATTTTCTTCTGTTTTATTATTATTATTAGCACTCAAGGGCGCCCTGCTTAATTATACATTATTGTGCCCATTTTATTTTTACTTTTATTATTATTACAAGAACATTGGTTCGACACCGACCGTAGACCATTATTGTTTTAATTCTATTTATTAATAAGTCACCTACATTGCGGACATTTTGATTATCGCAGTAAATGCGACCTACTGTCCGGTGGTCTCTGGGCCGGACTGTGTTTTAGGTAACAATTAAACAAAATAAAAAGTTTAAAAATAAAATTGTCGTTAAAATTATACAATTGTTTTCTTTTATACGTCTTCCTTACTCTAGCGTCTAGAAATTAACAGTTGAAAATGATTTCGTTAAAAAATATTATAATTGTAATGATGAAAGTACGAAATAAACTTTTATAACTGTGCTATATCTTAATCAAACGATTTTGCATGATAGTCCCATAACATATGAAATACATGCAGTTTACAATCAGACATTTCACTTATCTATCATTTCATTACGATGGTTATCTTAAGAACAGTGTATTTTCCCAAACTACCCATCCTATGCTATCAAAATATAATCACATACCAGCACGTTATATCAATACCACCAGGCATACATAACTGGCAGTTCTATGGAATTCTCAATTACACTATATCCGGGGGGTCTGAAATCAGAAATTTTAACTAACTTAACAGCTACAAAATCAATATTTATTTATTTAATTTTCCGCCAACAGACAATTTTTAAACAGAAAACAATTTTGAACTTAAAAATTTTAAATACTCACCTAATGAGTATTATACTAAGATAAATTAAAAACAATTGTAAATAATAAACCCAATCAAATTAAAGATACCAAAATTTTTTTTTTTTTTTGATTTACTAATATTTAATAAATCAAATAATAATAATTATTAACCATAGATTAATAGAACTACAATTATTTATTTATATTTTATATTTCTTTGTTTTATTGTGATTACATTTAAAATGTTTAAATTATAAATGCATTTTTGTTTATAACAGATTTTATTTTTATACAGTATAATACATGTTTTATACTATATCGTATTATACGTTTCAACCCTGATAAAAAGTATATACAAATTTATGGTGATATTATGACTTCGCAAAGTATTGTGATTATAAAATTTTCAAAAAGTAATTATAATAATTACATATTATATTATCTTTGGATCATAATCAGCAGCTATGAATTTCATGCACTAAAAAAGTCTTAAATATGCATGCATTTATGCATTATAAAATTTCAAAATAACCGGGTTGAGGCTGGGTAGAAAGCGGGCGCGGCTCGGCGATAGTGGTGTACTTATTATACCCGCATTACAGCGGGACCGCGTCAAAATTATTTCTGGTTATATTTTAATAATTAATAAAAACAAAATTACAAAATTTATTGAAAAAGAAAAATTTAAATAAAAATAAACATTTTCAATTTAAAATATAATTATTTAACTAAGTATATTAACTTTTCTTACTTTGGTTTCAGCAAATTAGTTGATTATTTTGTCCATATCTAGGATATTAGCTTGTTCTTTTTCAATGTTCAACAGAGCTATTTGACTCTGTTTGCTTATGTTTGCTTATTATGCTCTGTTTGACAAACGATTTTGACCCATTGAATTTCTTAAATAATTCTTAATTAATTTAAGCTTCGAAAACGTACGTTCCGCTGATGCAACCGTGACTGGTAATGTGAGATATATAATACAAGCACTTAATACTTCACTATAAGTGATGCAAAAATCATTTTCAATATTAAACAT